CTCCCCCAAGGACTGAGATCGACCTGATAGACTCAGTCCAGGCAGGTCCAGTCCCCTCCTTTCCAATTTGTATCCCCATAATCTCCTTATGTTGTCTTATTGCTCTGGCTAGAACTTCAAGTACTATATTGAATAAGTATGGGGAGAGCCGACAGCCTTGCCTTGTTCCTTATTTTAGTGGAATCGCTTTGAGTTTCTCTCCATTTAATTTGATGTTGGTTGTTGGCTTGCTGTAAATTGCCTTTATTATGTTTAGGTATGTTTCCTGTATTCCTGATCTCTCCCAGACCTTTATCATGAAGAGGCGTTGGATTTTGTCTAATGCCTTTTCAGCATCTAGTGAGATGATCATGAGGTTTTTTTCTTTCAGTTTGTTTATATGGTAGATTATATTGACGGACTTTCCTATGTTGAACCACCCTTGTGTCCCTGGGATGAAGCCACTTGATCATGGTGAATAATTGTTTTGATGTATTCTTGGAGTTTGTGCAAAGAGATCCACGGTCAGGCCCCAGGTGGCGCTCCAGGAATCCAATCGGCGAGAAAGAGGAGGGACTGTATGAGCAAGAATTGTTGAGACCATGATTGGAAAAAGCACAGGGACAAATAGCCAAAGTAGTGGAAACACATGAACTATGAACCAATTGCTGAGGAGCCCCCAACTGGATCAGGCCCTCTGGATAATTGAGACAGTTGATTAGCTTGAACTGTTTGGGAGGTACCCAGGTAGTGGGACCGGGACCTGTCCTTAGTGCATGAGCTGGCTGTTTGGAACCTGGGGCCTATGCAGGGACACTTTGCTCAACCTGAGAGGAGGGGACTGGACCTGCCTGGAATGAATCTAGCAGGTTGAGCTGAATCCCCAGGGGAGTCCTTGCCCTGGAGGAGATGGGAATGGGGGGGGGTGGGCTGTGGGGAGGGCAGAGAGGGAGTTGGGAGGAGGGATGACAGGGAAATCTGTTGCTGATATGTAAAATTAAATCAAATTATAAAATTAAAAAAGAATTTAATATAAACTCAACTGGCTAAACAGATAGTTACAGAAAATTACATTCAACAGGTATAGGATACACATTCCCCTCAATGGCACATGGCACACTGCCTTGGAAAAACCGTGAATAGGACCACGGAAACTCTTCCCAATAAACTAATACAAATTAAAAGCACAGATCATAGCATAATAAAACAGTAATTTAGCATTAGAAATATCATAAGTTGTAAAAACACAGAATTTGAAAACTTCATTTGATATTTCCAGTAATCCAAGGAAGAAATTATAAAGGAAGTAAAACAGTTTCTTGAAATCAATGAATGAAAACACAGTCCACCAAATTCTATGAGATAGGGCAGAAGATGAAAGGGGACATTGTATAGCACACATACCTACATAAAGCCAGACAATGTTCAAATAAACGCAAATTGTTTAATTCAGGTCCCCAGACAAGCAAAAGTAATTAAAACAGAAGAAATTAGAATAGGATTCATTCATGAAAGTCCCTGAGGAAATTGCACCCAAGGGCTGTATTGACAAGTGGAGCTGACAGTAAAAGTGTTAGAATAAGCACAATGCAAATGCCCAGAGATAAATAAGTTGTTAATTGAAGACCAGCATATTACAAAGAGAGAAGGGTGTATATAAAGTAAAGAACTAATACATTCTGGAATTAATAAGAACATTTTTTTGTAAAGTAATATAATTAAAATGTAATATTTGTGAATGAGTAAATAATGAAATGTCTACAGTCAGCATGGATCAGAATTGGTAGGCTTTCTGATTTCTTGAATGAAATTGACTTGTAATGTTACCAATAGGTCATTCCTGACTGTTCCAAAAGTGGTCAGTAAAGCAAATAGATGTGCTTTTATCTTAATACTCGACAGTGTTTCTTTGTCCCTAAATTGTATGTTAACATTCTCTTCAGTCTACCTGATTTATTAAACTTAACTATTTTGTGAATTCATTCAATGTTGTCTCAATTTATCTCTTTTCCAACTTATACCTTAGCATCACTCATTACAATAGATAAATTTTTAAAAAGTCATCTAATCAGACCCATAATTCTTTATTATTCCTAGTTCATCTCACACTAGTTGACCTTTCTTCTAAAATAATGCTGAGTCACTTTCAACATCACTTATCAGTTTAGCTTAAATAATTCAGCAAAGTGAAGATTACTCTTTCTGTACCTAAGAGGAGAAGTATATAAAAATAAAAAAATTCAAAAGATATAGATATTTATTATACATGCTCTTTATATATAATATAAATATATTAAGAAATAAAACTTGAATATAGCATATCTTTGGAAAAGTGTTCAGTTATATAATTAGACGTGTTATTGCAATTAATATTTTTCTTACACACTGGCTTAATAAGGACAAATATCTATCTATCATAATTATAGCACAAAACAACCACTTTTCAGTTTCCTGCTTGACAGTTGTACATAAGGAATGATGATATTTAAGAAAAACTAGTGGGCCCCAGAATATTAAGTACTCTATCTACCTGAGTCCACTGATCTAACTAATGTAGAAAAAGAATTCAACTTACACTCATTCTCATTTCACATTTGGATGTCAGATATATGACCACTGTTGTGGCCACAGAACAACACCCAGCTCCAAACTCACCTTTGTTAGAATTCCTGGGTGTTCTCTTCCTCAAACATTTCATTTCCAATAGGACTCCAAACCTCTTACTTATGATTCTCTCAACATGAGGCAACACATAGCTAGCAATATGCTACTAGACTGCTAATATTTGCAATGCAAAAAATGAAAATTTTGAAATCATATTAATTGCTGTATCAATTTCTAACTTTCGCTCAGTTTCTAAATTTTCTTTGCTAAATATCAAATGAAAATCTTGACATATTATTTGTTTCCCAAATAGGGGATTATTGATCTTTATGAACCTGGGACCCTATGTGTTTAATTTAAAATATTATATATTTTACATAAATAATATAAGAAGAAACCTAGTATTATGTCTGCAAGACATCCTTCAATACCTAAA